ACATATATTATATGAGCTATATATGCTATAACTATTACTAATAAAATATATAATATAACTAATACATGTATAAAATTTATAATAAATATAATATATGATATATATATAATAAATAATATAAGTGTCTCAAAAACCATAAATAATAGATATAGTACATGTAACGAATCTTCCACAGTAATCATTAGCCAATCAGATTATACGATTATTATAAAAAGGCCAGAACTTCATTATCTCGGGATTCAGTAATTGGATTTTAATAATTTTTGGCTTATTAGAACCGTCTTAGTGAGCTGATTCCAATGGTATATGTTTCATCCAAACTGGACCGGTGTATCGAAAGTTATTAAGGATTTTGTATTTTTCCTTAATATTTTATAGGTCAACAATAGAAGTAAAAAAAATATAACAAAGTGTTTAGTAGTACAACTTCAACTACACATCTTAGTAAATATCTTAATGCAATCTATCAAATTTTTTCTTATAAACAATATGAAAAAAATTTGAAAGGACAAACAATAATAGAATCAGATAAATCAGTTCAAACCATACCTTCAATGTTTGCAAAAGTGAATCTTCATAAGTTAGAAAAGCAACAAAAATTGTTGTTTCATTTAACAGCATAAATTGTTGAAGATTGTCAGACTTTAACTATTGTGGATAGATACAAATTTTATCGATTATGTAATGAAATAGATCCTTGTTTTCAAGTTCCTAGTTCAGCACTAAATAGAACTACAATTAGAGAATCATTAATTTTTGCTGAAGATCAATTACATAATCTAATATCTAAAATGATAGAAATATTTTCTTTTACCACAGATATATGGACAAGTATGTACTGTCCTTATATAGATGTAACTATTCATTAGCTTTTAAAAAACTTTAATTTATATCAAGTAGTTTTAACTATTGAAGAATTTCCTTATTCATACTCAGAAGAACGTCAAAAACAATTTTTATCAAAATTTTTGATCATTAGAATATATGTAACAAGTTGGTTAGGGGGACTACTGATAATAATAAATCAATTGTCAAAGGGATGCATCTTTTTGAAATACCTTATATCCAGTATACTGCTTATACAATTTAGTTAGCCATTAAAGATAGTCTTAATACATGTGATAATCTTTTAAACAAAGCAAAAAAACTAAATAACTGGTTAGTAAAAAGAGACTAATATTGTCAAAATCTTCACAATATTCAAAATGAATTTAATTAACTATTAACAAATAATTCTGAAAACTTAGAATAGCTACTATTAGGTAATAATGACTCTGAACCAGAATTTGATAAACCACAAGTATAATTAACTTCATCAATACAGTTAATTGAACATGCAAAAAAAAAAAAAAACTATAGTTGAGCCTATTCGTGATGTTAATACTAGATAGAATACATGTTTTTTGTTCTAAGAAGGTTAGTTAAATTACAAGATGCTGTAGAGCAACTTGCAAAGTCTTTAAGTCACTATTCTGATCAATAACAAAGAAAAGATAGGCAAAATTTAAATGAAAAATTACTTTTAAAATTAGAATAGAATGAGCTAGATGAGTTAATATTACTTTTATTACCCTTTGCTCAATCAACAAAATTAATCGAGGTTCACAATATCCAACTCTCAGCAAGATGCTTCTTATTATCTCACTTTTATCTTTACATTTATGTCAAATAAAAATATCTCTTACTTCATTCAGGATCCTAATTGTTCATCAACAAGTTGAAAATTCTATGTCTGTTCATTGGGAATCACTTTTAATAAAAGCATATATTGCTTCTTATTTAGAGTCACAGTTCAAAAATTTATCTTTTGTTAGCAATGAAAAAAAAGAGAGTTTTAAATCTGTTATCTGAAATGATAAAAATAGCTGAAACTAGTTTTGATACCCTAGCACAAACTGAAATAGATCAGTTTTATGATGGTAAAATTCCTAATTACCTAATGGATGATGAATAAGAATGATATAAAAAAGTAGCTTAAATGAACAAATACTTTATTGATGACCCTCTTTACAAAATACATAATCCTTCTGCTTGGTAGTACACAAACCAAAAAGATTACTCTAATTTAGTAGCTTTGGCACATAAATTCCTCTCATTCCCAGTTACTTCAGTACTCTCTGAATAGTTATTTTTTGATGCAGATAATATATTAATAAAAAAACAAAATTGATTAGATCCAAACTCAGTTCATGATATATTAATCTTGAAAACTAATTATAAGCTATTCAATGTCTATCCTAGGCTAGAATAAAAATTGTTATAATAGTCAAAATAACTCCAAAGATTATACAGTAGTAGTAATACATCTAAAAATTATAAAAATTTGGTTATTCAAATAAGATAATAAATAGTGAAGTAATCAATATAAACTTGTTCTCGTGACTGTAATAAAATCCAAATACCTAACAGTAATCTGATCAATCAAAAAAAAAGAAGTAAAAGTATCAAAAATTTGAATCTAGCTTTTTTTTTTATTAATTTAATATAGCTGTGATTTAAATCATAATATAAATCATAAACTCTGTTTAGTTTGTAGTATCGTAACTAATAACTGTGACTAAATCAAAAGCTTTATCTAGAATTAGTATTATAAGAACCCTGTAAAATAGAAGATATGAAAGAGTATTAATAGGAAAAACTCAAAAAATTTGAATCATTAGAACAATAGTCACTGCAGTTATTTTCTTTCATCTTATATTCCTTTATTTAGTTATTAAATATTTGAGATACGTAACTTATTTAACTTAGATTTCATATACAGGTAATATACAATATTAATATAGAAATAGTATTGAACATATATTTAAACTATTATTTAACTAGTCAAATGGTAAAATCAATACATTATATAATGCTATTGTTATTCAGAAAAACAGTAAGTATGTCATTTAATCTTATGGATCTTTATATGACATTATTAAAATAACTTATCGAAAGATAGCATAGTAATTAGGCAAAGGAGATTTTCAAATCTTCAGTTATTATTCAGACTCTGGTCATGTAGTAGGTCTTTAATGTTATTTGATTTCTTAACTTCCTACAATCTATTCAAGTTGACCTATCCTCTCTCTTAGGATAGTCAAACACAAGATTCAGAGGACAAGTTCTTTTTAATCAAATAACTTAACAATACTTTACTCTATTACAAAGAGTAATTAGGCAGCATGATGTTATCACAGGATTAGTTTATTAACTTAGTGATTATTGGGTTGGGAATTATTTAGTGAATTTATTATATCAAAGGAAAGTTTGGATGATTTATTTGTGAAAGTAAATATTTTATCGATTGAACAATATTTATGAGTAGGAAAGTTTTATCAAGTTAATAATATATTTGTGAAAGTAAATATTTATTGACTATGTGATATTTTTATTGAAGAGCAAAAGTGCCCATTTATATACTTTCTTGAATAATAAGTTTGCCAATAAGTCTTTTAATGCTGAAAAGACTTATCATACTTTTAATACATAAAAGAATTATAAGCATTTAAAGCAATTAATCTCTTAAAATGCTTTAAAGAGAGATCGCATTTTAATCACTTTAAAGCATTTAAAGCATTTAAAGTATTTAAAGCAATTAAAGCATTATTGCTCTTTAAAGCATGAGATTTCTATAATTGGCAGAGATCTACTTAGCCATTGAGAATATGTGAACTGGTTATAGTACGAAACTTGACCAAAGCATTTCTTGGTCACACTTAGGTTCGTAGTTTAACAAATCAATTAACAAACACTACAAATTCAACATCAACTCTAAGTTGGCAGGCTGAAAGAGGTTGTGAAGGATTTGGTTTGGGTTTTAGAATTGCAGAGTAGATTTCCTTAAGGTGAGTGTTATCTCATTCTTGAGTTTTGATTCCAGTAGTTTTAGTTTTGGTCTTTTAGGTTCTTTATACTTTTGTGAGGGATTATATGTCATGTGATCTGGTCCTCCTTGTGATTGGTTATTGATGTTAACAATAGAGATTGTTAAATTGAGGGGTTTATCAATAGAACTATTCAGGGGGCGATTGATTTATGATTTCCTTAAACTGATCAATTCTAATTAGCACGGGGTTTTAACAATAACGATTCTTTTAACAATGACGAATTTATGACACCAAACTTCTACTCGAATTTCGAAGTATTGGTTCTTGACAGTTCGAACTTTATTAGAGTTTATTTATTCCAACTTAGTAAGTTGTTATTTTTGAACTCCGAAAGTTATTTTTATTGAGGGAAATTTGAGTTACTTATATACATAATTTATATTAATATATGATAACAAAAATAGAAGAAATAAAAAATAATAGAAAAATATTTTGGATTCGAGGAATCCCCGTTGGAATCCTTAGGATTTGAAAAATCCTAAAAATTATGGTTCGGATCCTTAGGATTCTAATAATCCTGGAAATTAC